GTGAAAGTGAAGACTTGGTTCTGTCAGTGCTCAAGACTGCTGATGAGTGTTTCTTACTTTTTAAATGCTTGTATCACGGAAGGCTCTGCTGCTTCTCAGAGCTGAGTAGCTTCCAGTCTACCAGGTGTTCCTTTTTAATCAGGACAGTCAATTGCCTAACAGTTTATAAAAGGCCTTAAGTGAGGAAGTAATCAACAGTGTCTATTATAGCAAGAATAGTATTTGCAATCAAATGGTGATGTGACTAATGTAATTGAAACATTATTACACCATCGACTTTGTATTCTCAGGCCATATGCCTCGAATTGAGTATGGGGGCAAAGAGTGTGTTACATCATATGGCACAGGTAATGCAAGGTTTTTAAGTTACCAATTTGCTGTAGAGTTAGCCCATATAAAAAATGAGCAGGGTCCTTGTCCATCAGACTCAATTAACTCAGACATCTTACTGTTGTCCTGAAGCTCATCCCAGTGGTAAGCAGGTGTGTGAGCAAAAATCAGGGAAAACTGAATGCCAAAAAACCTCACAGAAACTCCTCCCTTAAAAAGGATCTCCTGAGCTGAAGGGAAAGCTATTTTGAGCAGCAAACATAAGAACGTTACAGGAAACTACTCCCATTCAAAATTGTATCTAATTATAACTCACAATTTGTTCAATTCTGATAAGCAATGATTTCTCTTCTAAATTTTAGTAAGGTTATAGCATAATTCAGGTTGTAAGGGAAATAATGTACCAACAATTATGATATCTCTCATAAATGCTTATTGTATGGGATGGAGACATTGCCCCTTTACTGAATTCTTGATTCAAAGGCAAAAAGAGAGACAAGGAAACCCCACCCAGGACATAATGCTTTCTGAACATAGAATGATTTTGTCTTTCCTTTCCTCCAAGATTTATATGTGATTTCATTTCTTCTGTATATTTCCAGGCAACCAGCCAGTTTTCTTAGAGAGTAGGGAAGTTTGGCACTGAGGGAGATAAGCTTTTATGGCTGGAAGGGATTCATGAATTGGAGTATCAGATCCATGCTCCCATGCTCCGTATTTAGGAATAGCATTAAGGGCCAGTCTTGGGAGATATTACAGTTCCAAATGGGGGGCAAGCAAGTGCAGTCAAATAAATGGAGAAAGAAACATGGAACATTCACTCCCTGTGTCACTGCAGAGGCCAACCAGTACAAGACCACCCTGAAGCATTTGTGACTTCAAACCAAAGTGCTGAGTCAAAATGCAGTAGAACATAACTGTCTTCTTAACATTTCTTATATCAGTTAAGCTATTCTCAGAGTGTAAAAGATTCATCTAAGGCTAATTTCCAAATAATTACATTGCAAGTGAGGATAAAGATTGTTAATAATAAATGTCAGGTCTATTAGAAGAGCCTAGATGAAAATGTCATATTCATAAGCTGGGATGTTTTTTACTCAAGGATTTTGTTTGTGTCCAGTCCTTTAATATACCTTGGGAAGTTTGTCAAAATAGAGGTACATGATACAGTGCTGTTTCTCCAGTCACTAGGGTGGATACTTAGGCATAAGAGAGTATGCCTTTTTCCAGTCAAGGGTATGCCCAGTGTTATGCTGTGTGTCCCAAGTGCTGAGATAAAGACTACCTGCAGCATTTCTGTTGTATAGGGATTAGGTAGAGAGGTGCTTGGTGGAATAATTTACTGTTACTGTTTCCCCACACTGTCTTGTGGCTCTGCAAGACCAGTGGAGTAGGTCCAGTTGACAGCTGCAAAAGTAACGCAAAGCAGCTCATGTTGTGGAAGACATGTTCAGGTACCTTGATTCTGTTTTGATGTCCAATCCAAGGGAGAAACAGCAGGAGAAGACAGGGTTCAAAGAAGAGGCAGGATGGATTCAGACGTGAAGAACTCTTCACCCAGGAGAGACTGAGTAGCTTGGCACTGGTCAGAAACAGTAAGAATAGAGAAATAAGAATTCTCTGAAAAACAAGTCTGATGTGAAAAGGCAATGTAGATGCCTCTGTTTACTTTTCTGTGGTCACACAAAGTTGATCAATGAATCTGGAAGTCCAAAAGCACAACAACTCTAAGGTGTGCTCTGTACCACATAATTGTCTGGAAATTTAGTGTCACGTGCTGCCATTATCTTAGCCAATGTTGCAGAAGAATACAAAATAGAGGTAAATAATTGAATAATGAGGAGCAAGCAACTGTATCTAATACCTTTAGTCATTTCACTTATAAGCTCTGTAATGATTCATGACCAAACTTAACTTCCTGGCAGTAAGAAATAATTTTTTTCTAGCAGCTTAAGCAGCTTACATGAAGGGAAAAAAGTACGTCTCCAAAGCTGTCGGGGAAGCTGTTCCCATTTGGGTGGGAGCCTGAAAACTCCCATTAACTCTCACTTTTAATGTCTGGTGTCTCAGTGTATGGAACATTGGTAAAATGGAAAAACTGAACATGCCTCCTAAAACAAATCTGAAATGTATCTGGCGTTTTGGCGTCCCTCTCCACACATTATCAGGCACAGGAGAAGCTGCACAGAGGGAGGTGGTTAGCACATGAGCTTGAGTCACAGAAGATAAGTATTTCTATAGCAGCCACTTTGAAGGAAGGGGAGGATGCAGGTTCTCTAGGGACAGCATAGCAGTGCCTGCTGTAACGAGAAGCAGCTGAGTTTTGTTCATGACTTGTTGATCTATGTAAATCAGAATGTTAGTGCAGAGCTGAATTATGCATTATTTCTCTTAACGGATGGACTGTTGATAACATCTGTATTTCAGCTGACTTTTTTTTTTTATTTTAGTGTGTTATTGTCATTGAGAGCAAATAATTTGATTAGAAATTTTCATAATTGCAGGTCATACTGTTTATCTCCTATTCAGTGCTGAGAATGGGATATTAAGTCCAGGTGATAGCAGTCACAAGCCTTAGGATAGTCTCATGAAAAAAAAAATGTAGCCTGAAGTATGTGATGCAACTTTCAAAGCTGTGTGTTTCAACCTCTTTGATTTGCAGGCTATCTTAACATTTCAATGCTGGAAGCATGGACCCCCTGATCAGTGAGTTTAAGTGAACTGGCTGTAGGCTTGCCTTCCTCAGGAACAGGTGTTGTTTCTTATGTGATACATGTTGTACAAATAGGTTACCCTTATCTACCTCAGGTGATGTAGCAGATGAGAGGTTTAGTAGTCTGGCCTGATAGAATCAGTGATCTGTGAGGTATGTAGTAAGAGTGATGGGACAGGTTCATTAGCGAAAGGGCGGGGGGAGGGGGGAATGGAGGATGTGCTTGAATGCCAGAATGGAGGTGCCTGTTTTGTTTGATGATACGCAATTTTGTGATACACAAAATTGAATGAGAACTGAAAAGGAGGAAGGTGTGGTGGGCAGATCTCATCTTATTCAACAGAGTTGGTGTGTTACGCCAACAACTTGATATCAAAAAAAAAAATGAGCCTGGAAGCATATTGATGGAGAATATATTAGATGTATGTCCACAATGACACTGTGGTCAGGAAAGATTCAATCCAACTTCAGACTGTGTTCTGAATGTTTAATGTGCTTCATTAAATAGTTATGACTTTATTATATGCACTGTATATTGAGATTATCTTAGGCTGCTGCATTATCCTAATGCTGTTGAGGAAACTAGAGAGAACGCCGAGAACAACTTAAAACATGACTGTGAGTTGGGTAATCACCTTGGGAAAAGGTTCTGAGAGAAGTATGTGCAAACTGACAGCTCTGTTGTGGGGAAAGTGCATCATTACAAACAACAGAACAGTGTGCTTGCTAATAAAGCAGAGAATGATTGATTTTAGTTGTTAGGATTGAGTAATAATAGGAAGTTGAGAAATCCAAGGCTAATAACCAGAAACACTTTCTAGATATGAGGTCTGTTTGGGCTTCAAAAGTGTGATACAAGGAAAATTATGGTAGTCATGCAGTTAGGATATTCAGAAATTAAGCTGGTTAATCACCAATTAATGTAAGAACCTGTGTTAGGGTAAAAGCAGAGTTGAATACTTAAAGACTTCTCTTGTCCTGTTCAGAAGCTTCAGCAAGATAAAGTGAAAACTCTTTCTCTTTTGAAGATGCTATCTATACTTCTCTAATTGTCCCAAAACCTTGTTTCAGATTCAGAAATTCTCTTTAAGCAGCAAATTCCACAAGGTGACCAATGGCAGAGGTTTTTTTTCCCTGACTCTTGAGAAAAATCAGCAGTCATAAAAGGAGGTAACATGAAATTGCTGTCAAAGTGAATTGCACTGTGACTGATTGCTTGCACTGCTGAAAGTCTCAAGTTTACCAGGGTACAAACATAAGCTTTTTAAAAACTTTGCAGTAACTTTGGAACTCACATATTTACTGAATACACTCTAGTGCAGGGGGGAAAAGTCATCCCCAGCAGTCGTTTCTTTCCTTAGCATGTGCTGTTTGTGAACAATTATTTGTCTTGAGCCAAATAAAGCTACATTTCAAGATTTCTATGAATTTGTGTTATATAATGAATAAGAAGAATGGTACATGTTTCAAAGTACTTGCATAGTTCTAAACATTTTAGTATCTTCATTTTCTTTAGGTGATGTCCTGACTAATACTGATAATTTGTGGACCATAATTTGTATTTTTAATGCATCTCCTTGAAGGACCTATTCGCCACTTACTCTGAGGCTCTGCAGTGGTGATGCAGAGCACTGATATCTTAAAATCACTCAAACTGACTTTTCTTTTAAACTGACAAACTGACTGACTAACCTTAAATCTTCTTGCTATTGAGGAAAGCAATAAGGACGACATTTTTTTCAACCTTTGGTGAAAAAACTCCCAATAGGAGTATCTATTAGAGGTAATTTCTGGGTGGAAGTCATTAATGGTTCATTTCATCCTACTCCCAGGTAATGAGGGCAGTATTCTTCTGTTCTTCTGTCCAACCTGCACCAGTATCTTAGCTAAAGGGTATGCTTTTTCTGTCTTCACCAATGACTGTATTTGACAGACAATTTCTTTAATGTGATTTCAGCTTCCAAACAATTTGCTGAAGAAGTCTTGAAAGCACACAATGACTACAGGAAGAAACACGGAGTTCCCCCCTTAAAACTCTGCAAGAAGTTAAACAGAGGCGCCCAACAGTGAGTTCAGTCCTTTCTTTTCTCTCAAGAGATTTGTGACACTTTTTTCTGTTAGGTTCAAATGTGCATACTGCAAAAATACTTGCCTTTTGACATGCTGATTCTCAGTGAAGACTTATTGGGTGGAAAGTGTGGGACTCCACTCTTTTGTCCTCTCTTTCTCCATCACATAGGTCTAGCTGCTTATATGGACACTTCTGTGGTCACAACTCTATAAATCTGTCCTGGACCCTTTTTCAGACATCACTGCATCTGTCTGCACTGATATGTCTCCTCTGGTAGCTGCCTAAGACATGCTTCACCACCAATTATGTCAGATAATGGATTATCATCTGCAGGAGAATATCCACAGCTGCTGAAATAGTGAGATAAAGAACTTATTCATGGTAAGACGCAGTGACTGGTCTAAGATCAGTGGAATCAGAAGGAATCAGATCTAATTATCTGTCTCCATGCCCCAAAAGCAAAAGCGCAATATATTCTCTATTCTGTCAGGAGGGAAACATCTTACCTCTTCTCCAGGGTTGAAGACTGCACAACTTCTTGCTCTCTGGCTTAAGTCTTTCTTAGACAAATTTGAGTCTGATACTGCTTGTCCTCTTTACTGTAGTTACAACAACCAGATTAATTCCTTTCGCTTTACAGCAACCTTTTTCAAAAAGTAGATTTAAAAATCCTCGATTTTTTCAGGCTGATCCTCACTGTGCAAAGGAGATATAACTGAAAGAGTAAATGCTGATTAAACTACTTAGAAAATAAATGTCTTCCCATAACAGCTAAACAGTGGCCAGTTTGATCCCTGCAGGTAAAAGATCATTAAGCTTTCTACCATAACTGTTCAGACTTCTCTGTGCCAGCTGGCTGGGAGCCAGAGAGGCTGCTGTAGTTTTGCAGAAGCTGATTTAGTGTCCCAGCATGGTGCTGCACTGTCACACAAAT